AACATCTGCAAGATATTAGAGAAGCTGGTTTGTCGCCGCCTGAAATGGATACTGGAAAACCGTAACTTAACATACCAAAGTGCCTTCAGATTCTTTAGATCAACAAATTACCTCCTAGTAAATATCAATACTACAATATGTGATGCCCTAGCTATGAATCAACATGTAATGGTAGTTTCAATGGATATTGAAAAAGCATATGAGATACACTCATATCCACCCTTGCTAAATCACATATAATAGGAAATATGTTAGCATTCACTATCAATTTCCTAAAAAACAGATACCTCAGAGTAAAAATTCTAGACATTGTGTCCCATCTTACAGAGATCTTGAATAGCTTACCACAAGGATATGTCCTTAGTGCTCTATTATTCATCCTAGTTATTAATGACGCAAGCAGTACAATAGAAGAACCCGTGAAAATATCCCTTTTGATGATATTACGTTGATATGCAGTGGTAAAAATCTTAAGGTGAATGAAAGTATTATGCAAGAATCGGTAGATAGAATCACTAAGTGGTCAACTAATGCAGGAATTACAATATCGAAGATTAAATCAGAGTTATAGTGTTCACAAGAAGAAGAAATAACGATAATGAAGAAGTGCATCTAAAACTGGGTGATCACCAACTTAAAAGGACTTATGTATACAAAATTCTGGGCGTACTATTTGATTCCAAACATTCATGGAAGCAGCATATAACGCCTCTTAAGGTTGAATGTAAAAAACGACTTAATATTATCAAAACGTTATCACCCGTTAAATGGGGAACACAATTCGAATGCTTGATCAACCTATATAAAGCTCTCATTCAATCTAAACTAGATTATGGGGCAGTAGTCTACAGCTCAGCTTCAAAAACAGTTCTGAATATTCTAAACCTTGTGATCAACAATGCTTGCAGTTTAAGCCTTGGTGCATTTAGAACCAGCCCATGTAATAGTTTATTTGTAGAAGCAAGACAACTACCGTTGGAATTAAGAAGAAACGTTCAGTGCATAACATTTGCCTACTCCACGCTTAGCATTCCCCCAACCCCTCAAATGCAGTTTTATTTAACAACCTCCAACCTAGCCTATATGATTTCAGATCACAGCTCTCATTACCGCTTAGAGAGAGACTCCCTAAGTATCTAGAAAAATTCAATATCACCAAACCACTTTGTATCCCCAGACGTAATCATCCCTTCCCACCTTGGCATAACTTTAATATCACAACTAATACCGACCTCGCAAAAAAACCAATAAATTTCACTGAACCTATTGACAGGACACAAGAAAGAATATCGACACCACTCCAAGATTATAACTTCTACCAAGTCTACACAGACGGGTCTAAACGTGATGGAATTGAAGGCTGTGCTATAATCCAACCACCAATTAATAAAATTGATTCTCACCGTCTCCCAGATTACTACTTCATTGCTACGGGAACTGCGTGGGCAGTTCTTTAAGCAATTATAATTAGTACTAAAACACCAAAAGATACCCCCATTGCAATTTTTTCAGACTCGCTATCAACTTTGAAAGCCGTCGAAAACAGATTCAATTCCAATACAATTATCAAAAAATCCAAGAAATACTAGAAAAACAAGCTATAAATTGGACCCAAATAGAAATAATATGTGAATTTCCTGATTGATTTTCATTCTTGTAGTGAATTGATGTATCCCACAGCACATTACTTTGTCTTCAATGATAAAGCTAGTTACATAATATTTTAAAGAGAATATTGTCGCTTCCTCACAACTATTTATTGTATTCGTTGTACAATGTTAATTTGTTAGAATACTACCTCTGTTTCATACCCAAGTAGTTGGGCGTACTTTTTCTCTACTTATACAATTAGAAATATTGACTAGAGCAGCGTTTTCATAATATTTCAAAATTATGTGTAAAGTAATTTGTTTAACGGTAAAAAGTCTGTCTCGATATAAAATTAAAATAATTTTTGATGACCTGTGTGGAAGTAATGAATTATGGTCACTCAACACATTCTTATTCCCCGTGACGGCATAACATTTCTTGCGAAGACAAAATAATGAGCCTTGTTCTTTTCCATTCAAAATGAATTATTAATATCTCAGATAAACTACATAGATAAATCTTATTCCGAGATGATTTGGAAATTTCTGCACCAGTATCATATATAGAACTGGACTAAATGTAAAGAAAAATTAATTTTTATGTATAAGTACGAATTATCTGCTTCTTCTAATTAATAATGTTCGGTGCGAAGGATGTCGTAAAAAGGAGATAGAGATCGTCCCAGAAAAATGAAGTCCTGCTATTCTACTTTTGCACATTTACAAATATGTTATATTGTCCTATATTTTGTCTATATTTTTAATGTAATTGCATGACAAATAATGCTATATATATAGAAGAGTCATCCACAATAGGTAAATAATAAATGGAATAATAAACAATATGTAAATACAGAAGTAAAACAAAAAACTATTTTCTACATAAACGGAACGAATGGATCAGACTACATAAGTAGAGCGCGAAAGTTTGGCAAAATGCTATTTTCTATTGTTACTATTTTATGATTGTTAACAATAGAAATCGCTTAATTGCACTTCTGGGGTTGTTTTAGTAGCATTTAGTTTTTTAGTAGATTAGTTGCGTTTTTATGAAAATTCTTATAAGGCGTTCTTTATGGAACACTATTGTTTCTGTTACGAATACATAAAATTATTTTTCGCCGTGTCTCCATGTGCATTTCAAGTCCATTCTTAATTTTTACTTTCTCGTTCTTAGTAACGTGAAAAGAGAAAGTATTGTCATCGTACGCCCGAAACCGGCAACTTTTCGACACATACACTCTTATAGCGGGTTAACTGGTAACGAAAACGTGAATACATTCTGTTGTTAAATATACAAGAAAAAACTGTAATACGTGATGTAGACAGAATCTATGTTTTGTACGCCCTTCATACTGAAAAACTGACGACAAAACGTCTGTCGGCCTGTCCACAACGCTAGCGCATAAACAGTTCGGCCGATTTTCTCCAAAATTGACATTCCCCAATCGTTCTAGCTGATGTTGCGAACTCTGAGGTCAGAAACAAATATTTTAATTTCTTGGGGGTGGGGGTACTATGCATTATTCACCCCGGACATTTTCATAATTAAAAACATATTTTGATTAAAATTGTTGTTTGTTGAATAGTGCGACGGACGTTTAAGATTGGTGCTGATCTCATTTTCGTTGTAATCCCCAATTTGTCGAAAAATATAAAAAAAATTAAAAATAGAAAATGGAAGATAAAAACAACAAATCCACTATGAATCTCTTCATTATTATGTAAATGTATACATCTCTCTCTCTCTATCTCCCTCTCTCTCTATCTCTCTCTCCCCCCCTCTCTCTCTTATACACTACTCAACTCCAGCTTATTCTTTCACAATGTGTACATTCGAATAAATGTGTAAATTTGTAACAAATACTACAAAAGTTTCCAACGCTTAGTGGTAAATTCTATGGAAGAAATAAATAAATTAATTAATAAAGAAAGCACACCATAATACATTTACGATTATTAGAACACCTTATTTATCATTTCCTTTTTTTTCATAAATAACAGTTGTATGCGGCAAATTTATCTGCTTGTTAATCAGATAGCTGTGTTACAATACCGCTTTAAATGAAGCGCGGGGAATTCAAATTGAGCATTTCGATTTGTTTCTACTTTTCGAAAATACAGTGAGTGCCCCAGCCATGTGATAATCAGCACTTTCTTTGCTTTTATTTGCTACTAATTTCTTTTTTAATTTCGATGTCCTGAGAAAACAGTTATTTAATACTTAAAATAGCTGTTTCTTCCAAAATTAAGCAAAAATATTAATATTTTCGAAAATATGAACATAGCCGTCTTAAAGATCTGTTTTTGATGAACACATTTCATGAAGAAAAAAATTATCTTAAAAATATTAAGTGTGGGAAGACTCCGAATAAGTTTTGAATTTTCGCAAATTTCGTTAAATTATGCATTACAACGGACATGTACCATGGACCTGCACCATTCTCTTAAGCATCCATTACTCTATTCGACAGCAAAGTTTAATAAAAAAAATGTGGAGCCATTTTTTGAAATTTTGAAAATGACGCAGGGACATAGTGTAAAGTGCCCCCCCTCAAAAAAATTTTAAACATGTTTCAAATTTAAGGGGCCGTGACATCAACAAGGCACCCGCCTTCAAGCCAATTGTCTCCAAAATCAATCGACAATCGATCTAGAACAAGTTAAAGCTTTGGAAGTTCCATTCTGATATTCTAATTTTTGAGGCTCCTTTACATGATGCTTCACAAACGTTTTCACATTTTTCTCAAAAATGGCTCCTAATTTTTGTGGTTAGATCAAGTTATGTTTAAAAATGACTCTGGTATCATTTTTTTAATTCTAATTTTTACAATTTTTTCGGTTACTAACTACAATAAAAATGGAGACTTTTTCGTTAATGATAACTGTTCCTTAAACACAGGTCTTGAAATAATATCGTGTACATTTTACGAAAATCTGAGTTTTCGTGTAATTTTGCGCTAAATATTGGCAATTAATTTTTTTAAACAATTATTTTCTTAAAACCGCTCCTATTATTCTTTAAATATTTTCGTCATATATATTTCAAAGGTCAGTAAAAATTATGGTGCTAGTGCCATTGAAGACAAATATTTTTGCTTGAGCCAAAGTCTATTAAAAAATCAGCTGTTGAGAAAAGGGAATAGGAATTTCGTGCAAAAAACGAGTAGTTTTTGCGTGATTCGTCCTTGAAATTCATACAATTCGTTATTATTTTTTAATAACCACTCTAATTTCTTTTCTCGCATGCAAGAGATACTTAATATAATGACGCGGATTTTGTTGAATTCTCTTTTTTTTTTCAAAAATTGTTGATTTCGAAATTGAAGATTTAGAAAGCTTAATTTTTCTTCCAATTAACACGTCTTCGCGAGGGAAATGATCCTACTTTGTCTATCTGCCCTCACACACTCATCCAAATCCTTTCACAAATTCCGCCCACGAAGCCTCCGGCGCGAGGCCTCCCACAGCCGCCGGGATTCTTAACGCAGCCGGCTGCCCGTTTTCGACGGCGCGGCGCGGCGCGGCGCGGCGCGGCGCGGCGGCGGAGGCGCTAACGGATCCGAGGCGCAGCGCGCGCGCGCGTTCCATGCCTGGGGGAGGGGGAGGAGGAGGGGAAGTGGAGCTTCCTGATTCATATCCCTGGCCGCTGCCCACCTCCCTGCCCGGCCACGCACTCCACGGGCTGCGCTTCCACGCGCGAGCGGACAACGGGACCAAGGCGCGGCGAACGGAGCAGAGCAGATACCTTGCGACGCGTCGTCAAGGGTGGCTCCCAGTCAAGATTTATTGCAGATTTTAATTTCAATAATACAATTTTAAATTAATGGCTTTGTATTTTCTTAATAGTATACGTGCTAGCAGATAACGGTGGGTTGTCAGGATTTTAGTAATGGCAAACGTCTATGAAACATTCCCGTACGTTTATAAAATGTTAAATGGCAAGAAATTGAAAAAAAAAACACTTTTTTAAAGTATTTATTTAATTGTTTTGTATATTGCTGCCCGTGTACCTAGAAACTTGTGATGGGCGCGCTCGAACTATGACTTACGTTACTTTGCTTACAGTTCTTTTAAGTTTTGTTTACAACGTTCACACACTTTCTGAATAAGCACTGAATGAAAAGTGGATGAGTATTTACAACTATTTAGTTTCTCTACAGTAAATGAAAATCATCCTTTTTCGGTACAAACCATTCGAACAGACTTGAAGGTTCTTGGTTTCTGTAAGTAATTATAGAATTTTGCCCCAATGTGGCACAACACTTACTGACCAAAATACTAAATTACACAAGTCTACAAAAAGAACCTTCTGCCATTTTTTAGATCCAATAACTGATATTATATATCAGTTATGTGAAGTGAAAGAATTACAGAAATGACTTCCATTCCCCGTATCATATCAGGTTAAAAAATTACATTCAAAAATCTTTATAATATATTTAACTTGCAAATCTAAAAGCATTGTTTGATCAACAGAAAATTCAGAACTTAATTACAGTTTACGTTGTATATGTTATACTTTTTTATATCAGAGTTAAGAAAATAAAAATTAAACACATTAACTTAAGGCCTTTTCTTTACTGTAATTGTTACACTTTACCGTTAAAATCACAGTTCTCACGCGTATGAGCAGTCAATAGTAGAATTGTTGCTTTGACCAAAATCTTGTTTCTCTTGTTCTGTTGGGCACTGTAGCAGGATCATCTCGTTGGCATAACCAAGTCTTTCAGTTCTGTTTGTGTTACAGATTTGGGGTTGTGTTCGGTGCTTTTCCAATCAGATTCTTCAGCTGACTCGCCTGACGACCTTGAATTAGAATGCACTAAATAGAAGTTCCAAAGAGGTTCTGTTATAGGAACTTCAGTGCCATGTGGTACAGGCCTAGCAAATTCCAAATTAGGATAAACCATTCCGTGTCTCCGTGTATTGAACCCTTTTACTTTGTAGATACAAAAATTACGTTTATATGGTCGTTTAGAAGGTTCTTTGTCTCGCGCCACATCATAGAAACCCCAAAATTCAGTGCCTTCATCTTCCCTTTGACCAGTTTCTTAACTCTGCAACAAAAACACTGCTCACTTCATGAGCCCACGGTTTATCATTTCCAAATTAGCGTTATAAACACTTCTAACAAATGAGGTTATATTCTGTCTCTTTTTTTGAAATCATAAAACGTCCACAAATATAACGAAATGCATTTGGGACATTCACATTTTTTCTTTGTCTGGTTTTAGCACAACAAATGTTTAAACAAACGTAGTAGTTCTGCGAAACTATTTACAGATAAAATGGAACTCAAGAAAAAATGCTCAGATAAGCTTCTCCCCCATACGTTATATACAGTTTTTACTTTTTGGATCTAAATCTTAGTCAACACTGGATGGTTTAATTTATATGCAGTGTCCACTATTGTAAGCATGATTGTTTCTACAAAGAAAAAAATTCAAATAATTACCTGAAGAAAATTCAATTGAATCATGTGTTAGAAAACATAAATAAATAGTGTTTAATTAGTTTGAAATTTTGATACCCTTTTTTACTTTCCCGCTATACAACAAACTTATGTCATGAAGAGATTGTATTCTAATGCTAAGACGGAAGTTGGCTATTTTCGTTTGTAAAACTCAAGTTGTGGGGCCCTAATCTTGTTCTTAAAAGATGTAAATTACTACCTATAACATGGCGTGTAGTCATGATCCACATTTTGCGGGTCCTTGGTATTGAAAGACTGGCAAAACATATGTCACCCGTCAGTGTCCGTCAGTCCACGGTGCCTTACACGTTCAGACAATTTTCCCCAAAATTGATATTCTCCGATTGATTCGGGCGAACACCAGTTCTTGCAAATTTGGTGCTGGACTTTACCTAAGTACTTAACAGTATTTTCAAAAATATTTTTGAAAATGTCTTCAAATTTTTTGGATAAATTATATTCTTGGTTAGAGCAAAGTAAGCTTAAAAATGGTGCAAGTATAATTTCCGTTGAACTCTCTGATGTTTTTAAAACATTCGGCGTCTTTAAACAACAGTATTGGAGGTAGAGACTTTTTATGGTCTGAAATGAAATTTGGTCTAAAAATTAAGTCTGTAATATGCTTATATACAATTTTTCTAAAGAATATCTGTAATCGTGTGATTTTACATGAAGTAGAGTCAAGTGTTAAGAAATAATATTTTAAAAAACGACTGAATTGTTTTCTTTATTTTATCTCCGGATAGAGCAAACTATGCTTATAAATGTGGCGCAGGTTTCTTTTTCGTTGACCTCACAGGATTTTGGAAAATGGCGAAGGATATAAATAATGTGAGAAATTAAGTGCTACTGTATCATCAGCAAACGTTTGAAAAAACTGATGTAATATTACGAAACATTTAAAATCAGGGAACACGTTCAAACTCTTTGGAAGTTTATATTTATAGGCGTTGTTTACAACATTAAGATACCCATCTTTTAAGCTCTGAAAAGCACTTCTTATAGAAATTTATATATAAGGGAAAACGAGAGAGAAAGAGAGGGAGAGAGAAAGAAAGAGAGAGAGAGAGAGAGAGAGAGAGAGAGAGAGCAGGACAACTGGACAACGTCTAGAGGGTTCTGTTAATATTACAATAACGATGGAAAATTGAAGAAATTTTATCCTTATCAAAATAACCATTATATTTGTACGATAATAAAAATTGTGGAAATCGAAGGTAACATAAAATCAACAGCGAATAAATTATTGGTAATTGAATCAATTTCTACATCTAAAAAGTTCGCAATTAGTGAATTTTTGAGTGTAAATCGAGTAATTGTTAGGCTATTATTATATAAAACCGAATCGAATATTACAAGTTTCAAGTAAAGAAAAAATAAAAATAAAGCTTCAGAGTTAAAATAAAATGGAAACGTAATGTTGGGAACGGTATTTTGTATATATAAGAAAGACTGTAAGAATTAAGAGTGAATGTGAATATTTTGTTCCAAGAGCACAAGGAGTGAGGGATGGGAGCACGCTGAATAAATAACGGGATCGAACAGCTCCAAGGACGATTGTAATTTCTGCAACATCACTGGAAATGTCTGCACTCCAACGTTTGAATCTGCATTCCGCAAGGTGTAAACATTTGTACGTTGCTTGGTGCAGACACGCATGTCACGAGACAAATTATGGTGTCCTCATACGAACCACGCTATTAAGAGTCGTATTCATGAACATGACTTAAATCGGACCTTACGCAAGTTTACTTTGAGAGCTGAAGTTGACTTCCGAAAAAATCGGATTCCTAGACAAAACTTCCACAAAGTAGAAGTAGAAGTAGATTAGTTTCAATTCAAACTATACATTCATTTAACAGTTGGCAGAATTGTGTCCGCCAATATTTTTTCGTATTCTCGGTTGTTTCGAGTAGGAAGCAAGCAGAATGATTTCGTGAGTGGAGCCGTTTATCCTATTGAATCCTAGTCTAATTATTTGTAACAACGTAGTAAATCCATTTGATTTTATTATGATCATGATGTTTACTTTTTAATTAGTAATTAAACGTTAACGATTGTATCATTTCGTGTCAAATGTCTCCTAGAAAGTTGGATTTTCAACTTTTTCCACCAAGTTTTTCGTAAATTGTTACATTACTAGTAAGAGGCAAGTTACATTGTAATATGCAGTTTTTTATTTCTCTGTGCAAAATTTTAAGACAAATAGGGAAATATGAATATGTGTCTTTTCCCAATTCAAACCTCAATGACTCAAGAAAGGTTTCGTTGTTGTATTTCTTACAGTAAAGATAGGTATCTGTTGTTATTAGAGCGTGTCATTTTCCCAGATACATAAAATACATTGGAAGATATACGCTTTTACAAAAAAGCCTTATATAAAAACTGAGGTCTACAGAAATTCTGAAATTAGATCTAGATTGAGAGGCAAATTATCTTCCAGAAATAGTGTGTTCAGTTCTTGTTACAGAAAATAAGCTTTGTAGATCAGTGTTATCAGCTCTTGCAATTTTTTAATCGAGAGTGACTTAATTACCCAAATAGTAGACTTAAATGAAAGATATTTCAAAATTTACTACTAGCAAGGAAAGACGTGCCGTACCTCTTTTACAAATAGAAAAGTACACACGTTCTTTATTTGTAATTTTAAATAATGATAATGTAGTGAAAATGGGAATTCTCTAAGAAAAACGTTAAATTTTAAGTACAGTTTATTTATGAAACGGGCATGTAAATTGATAGTTCACCAGTCTTAGCATCAGAGTGCCCCCTTAATTGTCCCCCCCATTTTTCTATAAACGAATTTTTGAGAACACGATCCATTGCTGGTATAAATTTTTTTTATTTTATCCAACCACTCCAAATTCCATCTTTCCACCGGTTCTAATACCCTTCGGTTATCCATAATTATCACTGAGCAGTTATTTAATGCTTACCAATTACCATCTGTGGGCACTTCAGGCAAAAAGAAGTATCCCTAGAGACTCTTGACTTAAGTCTTATGTTTGCACAACCATTCTCTTCCCATAGGGTCACTGAGCATGAAGTAACAGTAAGTTCCTAAGATTCCAGAGGTTACGTTCGAATATGATATTTCCAAGTCAAAATTTTTCGTGTCACGTTTGGATATATCTGGTGAAAGAAACAAAGCATTTATTTTTTACAATTACACCAAGACATATTGGATTTCATGCATATTTTGGGGGAATGTGGATACGGATGTACTTGACAATGCTCGGTAGAGAGTTACTGAATGAAAACTTTGCATCCCATTAAGTCTCACTGACGCATGGACGCAACATTTTTTTCTGTCTCATTTTATTCACTTGTTAACTTAATTATCGTATTGTTTTAAACATTACAAACGAAGACTTTGACTAAGACAAAACTAAGACTATGACTTAACTAAGAATTACGGATTTGATATTTTCTGGCTACGAAGTAGAGAGAAAATTATAAAATGCTCGGAAAATCGGCAAATTTTCTGAAGAAAAACTCTTATTACAGGAATCTAGTAACGAAAAAGTCGATCAATCCAGTTGCTAAATTTAGAAACAAATTTCTCTATCACGTGACTTATCCAGAATCCATGTTTTGCGGGTTCTTTATACTGAAAAATCGAATGACGCAAAACGTTTGTCCATCCGTTTGTCTGTCCTAACCTCATCCTATTCACCTCAACTGCACATCCCATTAAGGGCAAGGGCCTCCTGCTTCAGCTGGTAAATATTAAAACTTTATTTCCGAAGTGATGGGATGACGATGAGGGGGCAAAAGGACGATCACATATACATCCATGGCCGAGGGGGGATTCGAACCCGTGATCCTTCGATCCGAGAGCCACGACATTACTGCCTTAGTCATCTCGGCTACCCGTGTTGGCTCGCTTAATATTACATATGCATTAACGCGAGAAATTTCGTGCAATAGGCAACATAGGCAAATGTCGTGAGAAATTTCGTGCTGTTGTAGCACCTCTACTTTTAAATGTTTGGCGCGTCACTGATTTTCAGATACCTCCGCAATGACATGACATGATTTGGGAATATCAAGTAAATCGCGAGCGATATTTCGGCTGCTTTGCGCCGTAGCCCAAAAAGTGGCGTCTCCCGGACAGACAAGTAGATAGTGGCTGCGGCTGCTGAAGCATGCGCTTTCGAATATAATCTGCTACCCCACCCAGCCCCCGGCCTCCGCGCGGCCGAGGACGCCCAACGCCACCGCAGCGGACCTGTTGGCGCCGCATCGCTGACCTACCTGGGGCAGCAGCCGCAGTCCACGGCGTCGTCGTCCGCGGCGGCGGTTCCGGGCTCCAGGGCGATGGCGGTCAGGCCGGCCGCCGCCGCCGCCGCCGGCGGCGGCCCGGCGCTGCCGCCGTCGCCGTCGCCGCCAGGCGCGGTGGTGGCAGAGCGCGATGGGCGCGTCCGCTCCCAGGTCTCGGCGCGCCGCCGCCACTCGCCCGCCGCCGCCTCCTCGCGCGCCTCCTGCGGGCATCACCTCAGGAGATATCATGCGCCAAACAGGTGTCTTTATGTTTTGTGTGTGAAATGTTTATTTTTTAGTATGCTCTTGATTATAAGCGCGCGCAGAAATGGGTCAGGATGGCCTGAACTCTTGTGCTATGAAGTGATGATTATTATGCAAGAAAGCCTCTTTTGCCCGTCACTTTTCAGAAATCATAAGAAAAGACCAATTTCATGCAAACATAACGGTACGTAAAATTCCTTATTTTTATACTTTTGTAGATAAATAACACGCCACATGAAAGGATTTGGTTATTAGATCACAAGGGCTACTCATTGGGAACTTAGGAATATGTGGTCTAACTTATGGCATAGCTTTGTCTGGCCGATGGAATGAATGCCAAAATGCGATAGATTTTAAAAAAATGTAGTGTGAAGGTTTTGCAATGACTCAATTGTCTTCGACCAAGACAAATAATGTTATGTAACGTGTTTAAATGTTATTCTTTGTATTAAATTGTATGTATTTTTATACCTATATAATGTATTTTTGTACCTACAAAAAATAAAAAAGTATTTTAATGTATTATTCGTTTTTGTTGTAATTAAGGACCTAGGAGTCATTTTTGCTTTCCCGTATACGTACGTATATACGAAGTATGTAAGTAGTATAGGAAAAGTTATGTAATGCTGCGGAAAATTGATTTCGAGATTTCGCACGTTTTGGGGTTCCTTAATATCGAAAAAGTGGTTATTTTTAATCCGTCCGTCCGTCCGTCCGTCCGTCCGTCTGCCCGTCTGCCCGTCTGTCGATCCGCCTTCTCCAAAAGAGGATGTTCTGGGTCCTCTTGTGGTGTAATTTGTGAACCTAATGTCTGTGCAAACTATAAATGTTCCCGACTTGCTAATTATTTAGTCCGCTCTTCGGAAATCCTTACATCTGCTTTATATAATCGCGTCGCGACTTTCCCGCTCTAGGCTTCCGATGAAACCTCGATTCGCGACTATAATTTCCTTAAAATTAACAATTTAAAATTCCCACTACGGGATTAACCTCATGTGAACCCACAAACACAATTCGTCGACGACAACATTTAACCATTGAAATTCAAGTGAACAATACTGTTTAGCCTTCACTATTCTCAATTATTAAAACGAACATTCACCCACAACATAAATCTAGTATGACAAAATTAATATGTTGTAATGTTCATTACCATTTGAACTTTTTCGCTGCTTTCTTGAGAATGAGAATATTAGTTTTCTAGAGCTAAATTTTCAACGCCCTCTCTTAATTAATTCCATGTTAATGGCATCAGGCCGTGCCGTACTTCGACAATACAGTTCCCGTATAGCGCCCAGCATGGATGCCTATATGCCTATAGATCGCTGCTATGCTACGCGGATTCCTTGGATTTTAACATTTTAAATGCATTAATCATATCATACGATTGTCAATCATTCGCAGTGTGGCATACTGGTATGTCAAATTATCTTTGCCATGGAAGCTTCTAAAATTTCTTCATTTGAAAATTCTGTAGGAATTTCCTTTTTAATTCCTTTTCCTGTATTTTCTAGAACCGGGTACAAAATCCTCTAATCCTTGGGTATGCACGTCTTTATCTTTAATGAAAAGATTAGCGTCATTGTATTTTTCAATACTAGTTATACTTTATATATACCTTATTTCTGACATCGTAGTTCTTGTATTTCTTCCTTAAAGAGAAAGTTTCTAACTTTGTTTGCATTGATCACATCGTTGTCTGGTTTTGACTTTCTTAAGAAAACCCCAAAAGATACAAAATAAATATGATTGAAAGAAATAACGGTGTTAGATGATTTGTGTTCTTATCCAATAGCTAGCGATATAATGCAAATTATTGTGTTAAATAAATGTATTGGATATTCATTGCGGGTAATTTGTAGGTGATTTTAGTGGAAATGTTAATTTAGATTTCTAATACTTACTATTTTCGTTTTATTGTTCACATTTAGCTCTACACATTCTCTTTCCCCTTCTTTACCAAGTTTATCTAGTTTATTTTTTACCTTCCTACTTCATTACATTTTAATTTAGAGTTTTTATGCTATTATAGGGTCATAAAACAACACGAAGCAAAAGTAGAAAAGTGATTTTACAGATTATCTCCATAAATTCCTTTCCTGTAGAAGGATTAAAATTCTTTCAATAAATGTTTAATTTACTACAATTCTCAGTTGATGTTATTAAAAAGTTCCCGATGACTGACAATCAAGAGAAGCTGTAATATTGAGAAAAGAGGAGGATGTTTGTCCACAGCAAAAATACCGCCCCGCGATCTCGCATGTGCCACTATATCACAAGTGCGCTCGAAGGTTAAAGGGTTGGAACCTCCTTCAGAAGGGAACTACAATTACTGTGAATTGACGACAGGAACAAAATCTCCGATGCTGTTCTAAGCACAAGGCAATCTAGTGTATTGTACTGATGTTGATACGTTACTGAGAGCTTTTGGAGACCATCATTATCCTAACAAATGAAGATTGGTAATAGACACCTCTTAACTCAGTTTAAAAGCCGTTTTCTTCATATCGAAAATGAGAAACAAACATTGCTTTTGTAGCCCACATGAAAGAGACTTGTATCATGAAACATTTGATATCAAAGATAAAATACTATGACTCTTCAGGGACTATATGCGACAATTTGAAAGTTATCGCACTTTTGTTGAGTCTCCAACAAAAGTGCTTCATACGCTTTTCTTCGGAGAGGAAGTAAAGACGACTTTTCCATGTTAGTAGATTTACTGCATGTGAATGATCAAGCTTAAATAAAGCTAACGTAAAATCGCCTGTTTCGTCCCCCGAGTGATACATCCTCTCTCCACTAAGTGGACGAAAGAAGTGTAGCGAAATTGGCGTGGTCAGATGGAAGAGCGGGTCTGATGGAATAGACAAAATGTTAAATTTTGTCGACCAGTGTTATCAAAGGACACCTCATGAGCGAAATGAGACTAATTACATAATTGATATTACATTAACGTAATTATGCTACGTAATCGAGAGACCTTTACATACGAGCTTAATCATTTATACATTTTGAATTGCATCTGGTGTCAATTCGAATTCAGTGAGAATGACTATCTCAAATTGCGCTATTAAAACATTCACTCCTCTCCAAATTGCCAGTTATGTGTGTTCTATTTGGATTTTACGATCCAGACGTGCGGGTTCGTGATTGCAATGAACAGTTAGGAAAGAAGTTAATTGCGGTGCTAAAGTGAAAAACCTTGTCCGATGAAATATATTTGTCAGACACATTAAAAGAAATTTCGAGACGCAAAATATATCTCGCTGCACATCATTCACAATATTATTTTCAGAAAATTCTCCACTTGAATATTGTAACAATATATGTACAGGAACTTTTTAGAAAAGGTAAACGATTTTTCTCGCTTCTAACAAATATCTAATATTCATAATAAATAGTTACTTATTACAATTAAAACTGGAGTAACTACTCTGTACTAATACGCTGAGACTGAGCATTGATGGTGAACTAAGCTGATTAAAACTAAGAATTATTGTAAGCTCAAGACGCAATAAATACTGGTTCATTATATTCTGCTTATGATTTCATGCAATCTCATACCCGATTCGTGCATTACCATCTGACGAAATAACAGGATATTTATTAATGATAAAGTTTATTCCAAAATTCTACTCTCAAAAATACAGTTGAAAAACTAATAGAATTCATACATCTTACGTATACCTACTGACACTTATTCTTAAACACTTATTTCTTTGTGTATTACGTTAGTTCTAGAGTTATTTTCTTAAATACCTTCAACCCTTGTACGTCTGAATCTCTTTCTCCTTAAGATTTTCTGCACAAACCATCTTCCCTCTCTAAGCAAATCTATCCCTTCTGTCGCGCACTCTCCTTCTTTAAAAAATGTTGTCTTTCCTATTCCCATACTGATCACTTTCTAGCTTCTCTCATTTTCACTTCTTTCCGACACCATCTTGCACCATCATCCTCTATCTAGAACCTCCTCATATCATATCGCTCTAATCGCAGACCTCTCTCTCATTTTTCCTCCGTCTTTCTATATTCTCATCACTTAGTCTGACATACTCCGTTCCAATTCAAAGTATCACTTTAGAAATATATCTTCATGTCCTTCAATCTTCCTTCTTTTCTTATATTCCCAGATATCTACTCTCCACAAGAGAATGCTTCCCATGACGCTATCAAAAGCGTTTATCCCTTATTTACAGAAAGTATGAAAGATGTTCTCTCACACCTGTGACAACTATTTCACCTTTTCTTGGTATTTTTTTTACCTGTCCCTCTTGTACACAATTATTCCTTACGACATATCCCAGATATTTAAGTTCCTTAATCTGATCTATCTTGAACAACTTCCATTACAATATCATGATTGCATATTACTAAAATAATGTGGTTATCGCCAGTTTTTCCCATTACGTGTACACTTCCTGAGGCGGAGAAGATATTGATAACACTTGATGTTAGACTTTATGACGGATTGTAAATATTGTGTTCTTCGTTCACGAATAAGCATCCTAGGATTTTCGTGCAGTGAATAATTCGTAATGATATGTTCAGAATGTTTTATTATTACATGGTGCTTCGCGTTCACTTATTTTCGCCATTTTCTACAACATGACTATCAATTCATTTGAGAGCAGAGCACATTTCGCGTTTAGAGGAAATAGTCTGTTAATTGAAAATTTTATCTCATGAAAATGTTTACTTTCAAAGGGGAAAATAATTATGTGGAATTAATTAATTGGTACGTCTAGAAAGATACCTTGTTAGGAAATGTGATGGAAAATAAAAACTGTATAATAACAATATATTGAATTTTTACGTATATCAAGAGAAACCTGCAGCATTAGTTCTTGTCACACAACGAAACTGTGCCCATTTTTTTATTTAATAGATTTAAAAAAATCATTTTTATGGAAAAGTAATGGAAGTAATATGGAAGTTAATGAACAAGTAATAATAT